CTTCTCGTTAATTAGAAACCACTCAGAATTCGTGTACATTAATATTCCTCAATCCGTATACGATCTTTCTAAATGAACAGCGCTCTAAATGAATCATTACTCTCTAGTTGCACGTTTCCTATATGTAATCTAAGTCTATGTAGCTCTATGTAAGAAACTATTCGTGGAACTGCTCTGCTGCGCTTAAGTCGACTGCGACTGACGGTCCTTTACTCCTGCGCCTTTCCCTTAAAGCCTCCGCTTAACCCTAATCGTACCACGTTTTACAACGAACCATAGCGCGGTGTGACTCTCACTCACTTATGAGAATAAAAGGAATGATTAATGTGGTATTAATGGAATTGAAATATGTTTTATATAAAAAAAAATGGAAATAAATAGAAACGATATAGCTCGCAGTGTACAGGTCTGTTCTCTTCTCAGGTCAACGCAACTCTCATGAGTCCCTTTCTCTCTTATTTTCTCTCTTATATTCTCTCACATTTTCTAATGAGATAGGAACGACATTTTGGAAACTTACTTAAAGAGAAATTACGTATGAATCAAAGAACAAAGTTTCATTTCAATATCCCACATATTGATGCATTATAGAAAGATTAATGTTAAATATCAAACTCTACAATTTTGTATCGAATCAAAGTGGTGACTGCGTCACCTCTCGAATGCAAAGGGTTAAATCGATACTACGTTAATAATATGATTGCAGTATGCAACATGAAATAATGAAAAACTTGAAGTAAAAACTTCAAACGTGACTCGAAGTCGCATCGCGGTCCGATGAGGGTTAAATCGAGCCGCGTTATCCCGGTCGTATCGGTCCGGCGAGAACGTCGTCGCCGCGAGGGATTATTGTCTCGGACTGTACGGACTCGAGACGTTTAAACCGGGGATATTCCTTTTGTTCGCGGCGACGTCGTCCCGTCGCGGCGCGTTTTGTTCGCGGCGTTAAATTGCATCGGATAATATCGGGACGCGATGCGAGCCACGGAACGAATGCCCTCCCCCTCCCCCACCCGGCGGGATTTATTCAGAGCCGAGGATCGAAGGAACTCGCCGTAACGAGATCCGAAAGCTGCCGGATGCACGCCGCGGAACCTATCCCATCAAATCCCCCCGATTTCACCGTTCCCGCGCCGGCTCGCCGGGTTTGCATAATTTTCAAACGGACGCCCGGACGCACAAAGGTGCCACGGTTAATTAGAACATCCGCGGCGGCCGCGCAACGACTCGGACTCGGGAGGAAGATGCAAACGAGTACCGTGATTCGCTGTTAACGAACATCCCTTGAACCTTCGCGTTCTTTACGATTCCTTGAGTACGATGCTTGAAGCTGCTTGGACCGCGTAAGGATAATTAATTTGTTTAGGGGATGTAACAAGAATTAACCCTTTGCACTCGAGAGGTGACTCTCAGCCACCACTTGATTCGATACAATAACACTATGAAGTTGAATATTTAGTATTTTAAATTGAAGTTTGTTTTGCTATGTGAAATATTTAAATAAAATAGCTTTGTTGCTTGATTTATCTACGAATTATCGTTACATTAGTATCAGGCAATATCGTCTATATCTCGTTGGAAACTGTTGGATATTTCTAATGAAAAACTTTCGAGTGCAAAGGGTTAATACGTTCAATCATCTGAACATTCTTAGATGTAAAGAACTGAACGTTACGTTTTGGGGGAAATTGTTTCATTCTAACGTCAAGGGTTTAACAGTTTCCCGGGAAAGTAGGTTCGCAGTTAGGAGAATCTCGCGGAGCGTCGTAACGAATCAAAGTGAGGACAGCGTTGGAACAATTATCCTTTTATTCGTTATCCAGTCGCGTCGCGGCAGTTCGTTTTCGGTTCGCTTTTGCGCGGAGAGGCGGCGGGTTCCAGCCCCCGTAGGAGCGTAATAAGGACAAATGGCTGGGGCCGGGGCTGTATAAAGAAAACCGAGCTGCTGGAATAAATGGAACACACTTTAGAGAAGCCGCCGGGGAAAAATACATAAGGATAACAAGGGTTCGCGTGGCGACGTGGGACGAGAACGGAATTTATGGCGGACGTTGCGCTCTCTCTTTTCTCCGTCTTCATTCCGCCTCAATCTTCATTCCCCCCTCTTCCCCTTCGGCTCTGTATCCTCGATAAATTTTAATTATCGCTACCGAGGCGTCGCGATAATCGGATAACGCCGACCTACCGCTTTCCGAACGTTAACCACTCGACGATCACGGAGTCGCGCGGGTCATCCGAAACACGCGAGCCTAGGAATTATTCCGATTCTCTTCGACAATGGAAATCATCCAGCTGATCGGCAGTTTGTTTCAACCGTTTACGAATGTCGATATCTCCGCGAGATGAAATGTCGATCAAGTCGCGAACAAATGATTTAGTTAGTCGAACACTGAGGGATCAGCAGGTAGATTCTTTTTTCTCGATCAATTAACCCTTGGCACTCTAGATGGTTTTGTAGTCTATCGGCAATTGCAACTAATCTTTATAGTATCCTATAACATTCCTTAGATCTTTCATTTTCCTTAGTGCAAAATTTACATGTGTGGAAAATCGAATAATTGAAGGGTAGTTTCTTTAAGATTCATTAAAATATTTAATATTGGAACTGGTGCGATATTGGAGCCTACGGAGTTCAAAGGGTTAACCCTTTGCACTCGGAAGTTTTTCATCAGAAATATTTGAACACTTTCTGATGAGACAAAGACGATATTTCGTGAAACTAACTTAATATTAGAAACTAACTTTACTAATATGTGAAGCTAACTTTATAATATTAAGTATCAAATTTTATGGTTTCACTGTATGAAATCAAATGGTGAGTGAGAGTCACCTCTCGAGTGCAAAGGGTTAAACAATTCATATATAATTTATCTTCATATGTCGAAGATTTTACATATTTCGAAGAATCTTCGTCAAAGGGTTAAAAAGCTGTCGAGATGTGCGAAAATGGATCATTGAAATGAAATGCGAAGCGTGGGATATAGTTTTCGGAGGATTATCCTCGGAAACTCGTAAGTAGAATAAGCGAGTGATGGACGGACGGTTAGTAGTTTCGCTCGACGACACGCGAGCCCGGCCAGTCTCCGTTTCTCAATAAAAGGGAACCGCGGAACATTGACTCCGGAAACTAATGAAACGAAACTCGCGGGGCTGCCGTGGAAAAAATAAACGGGGGAACTTCTCGTTTTCGTTTTCGCGGCCGAGAAAACAATTACAAGGCGCGCCGGGTAGATTCCCGATACTATTTCCCGCGGCGGCACGCCGCCCGGCGCGGATCCGTTTTAACTGGAACGCCGAAGAAGTTCTAGACCACTTGTTAGTAGGCCGCTGTCCGACCGTGCACGAACCGTAATCACTTTCGATAGCGACTGGCACGGACCGCCTGAGTTGCGCTGGAATCGGATAACCGGGGTACCCTGCGAGCGTAATTATTCACTTCTGCGAATCGGAACTAAAAATAACGTTAACAAATAATCGGAATAATCCAGCCGTCTTCGCCGGTGAACCTCTGAACCGACAGCGGATCGTGACCTATACTAAAACTTGGCAACGCGTGCTTGAGATTCAATTGAATTCCATTCGTGTAAATCACTCTACAACTCGGGATCCAATTGACTGAGCACCATCGTACGAACAAAATCATTATCGTTGTTACTTTGAGAACGTATCCGTAATTAGCGGGTCGCGTCAAAGGTTCGATTGAATGGGACGCGTATTGTGCCGCGTCTCGCGAAGTCACGCGTGCGATTTAAATTGAAACTCTCGTGGCGTCTCGAGCGTTGTTCGCGGAGTATCGAGTAACGACGTGAAACGCGACGGGGACGGGGCCGAAGTAGAATAATAAACGAAACGAGCGAGTAGTTCGGCGGGCGGAATTCGCGGCCGCGACGGATAAACAACGGAAACACGTGACGGCCACTCGACGGTAATTGGAGTTGGCGAAATGGTAAAAGCGTCTCGATGAGAACGATCCTCGGTAGATAGGGGAAACGCATCGGCGAGGCCGTTGTACGCGGGACGGTAAAGCAAACGAGTAGCGAAGGGTCGCGTGACTCGCCGCGCTTCCGATGCCCGCGGCGATTAGGCCGGCTAACCTAACCCAATTAACGGGGAACCGTTCCCTCGAGTTTCTTCCTAATCTCCTCGCTTCGCGTTTACGCTCGTCCTCTTCCTATCGAGCTCGCCGGGGATACCGAAGGAGCTCGAGCGCCGCAGATTCGAACTGTGGATTGAATTTCTGATCGTTACGTTGCGTTAAGAAGGGTTTCCGAGACGATGGCTGTGAGATGTTTCGAGTGAGAAACACTTTATTGTAACAGTTGTGTTTGTGTGTCTTTCGGAAGGTCTCGTAGCGTTTTCTGGTTCTCGTAGTGTCTTATCGTACGAAAAATTAGCTTTCTTTCGGATTCAGCTATAGTCTTCAGCGGAGGGCAGTTGTATTAGGCGACTAGATCGTCAAGATTCTAGTTTCGCTTCGACTCATCGTCGTGATTTACTGTTCGATCGGTTGCAGCTCGCTGCGTGCGCGAGAAAATTAACACGATTTCAAAGTGTACGCCTGCTCTATAATTATTAATCACCGCGAGTCCTATAATTCCTATAATTCGCTTCTCGAGTCGCGTTCGATGCAACACTGACTGCTCGAACCCCCAAATTCCCCAGATTTCCAGGGTTGAACAACCTGCAGTCGAACCAGCAGTAGAACTCCGCCACAAACCTATACATTTTTCGAGTGGCTCGCACGAGAAACGATCGCGTGTAGCGTACTCGAGATCTCCTAGAATAGTACCGCGATATCCGTCCTCGTTCGAGAAGATCTCGACGAGAGCGAATCGGCGGAGTGTCTATTAAAACGAACGGTCGTTCTGCCCTCGAGTCGAGGGTTGACGACCGGTTGAAAGGCTCGCGGTCGAAAACTCGCGATTCGTCGGTTGCCGTGTGCGCGTCTGGCCAACCCCGCGTATGCAGATGTTTGAAGGGGACGATGTTTGGTTCGCAGGATGTTGGGCGGCGTGGGAGGCCGGCACATGTCTACGCGCCGGCGGGGCAGCAGCCCTCTGGTGCGTGGAGGTGCGGGCCTCGCAGGGTATGGCGGCCCGGCGGGTGTCTCTGGGAACGCGAACAACGATGCCGCTGCTTTACCACCGGATGTGCAACGCTACGCCGTCAGGAGGCGGAGGGCGGTTACCACCAGCGACCACAAGAGCTGCGCCCTCGTGCAGACCCGCATCAAGCTCGGGGATATCATGTGAGTCTGTTTTACTGTTCCCAGATCGGCGATACTGTTGAAACTTGGTATCGAGGAATGATCACATGGCTTTGAAGTATCCCGGTTTTAACCCTTTGCACTCGAGGTGACTCTTAGTTGCCATTTTATTTGATATAGCAAAACTATTAAGTTGAATATTTAGTATTTTAAATTAAACTTTGTAGCGCTATGTGAAATATTGAAATAGAACACCTTTGTTGCTTAATTTGTCAGTGAATCGTCGTCAAATTAGTTCAATATCGTCTATATCTCGTTGGAAAATGTTGGATATTTCTAATGATTTTCGAGTGCAAAGGGTTAACACATTGCGTACGGGTAACTAGAAATCTCGTTTATGTAGACACTTAGCTGTGCGACTTCGCTGATTACCACAGCATTGGAAAAATATAGAATAGATAAAAATATCACAATTCAGTTTTCTGAAAATTAGGTATGCAATGTAACACTAGAACTACCGAGTAGTTGAATTAGATTTTCGAATTTTTCTGTAGAAACCCTAACATTGTGTATTAAGATTTCAATTTAATTCGCATGCTTTTAAATCAATTGCTACTCATTTCCCTAAGATGCGTCTGGTTCTTTGAATAATTGCAGAAGAGGTGGGGGTGGTTTTGAGCCACTTGGTAGTTCTAGTGTTGACAGTACAGAAATTCGTCTATAGAAACTCGAAGAGTGCTTCTACTGAAACTTGAATTGACTTACAGTTCAGTTTGCGTACTGGCAAATTAATTTCTCCGACTTAGAGGAGAATCTGCTTTTAATAATCGCAACAAAGAGAAATCAGGGATGGGTAATTTTAACCCGTTTAGTGGCTCTCGTTATAACAATCGCAGTGCTTTATCATAAATATTCTCTGCTTTCTCCACCTACTTTCTATCACTCCACGGTACAGTGTCCCGCGTGTCTGACCACAGTCGGTATCTACTGGCGCAGCTATAATCGACCCCGCGATGGAAGCTTTCCTGGCTTCCGTCGGTAACAGTGGACGCTTCTCATTGGTACCGTCTAACAGGGTGGGTAACAAGGGTTGTTATCTCTCGGAATTCCTCCGCGTAAATTGTAGGTTGATAAAGCCACGCTGTAGTTTACCTTGTGTAGTCCGAGCAGAATCACGTAGTATCGGTTGAAGATACAGAGTCTGACTATGTCCCTGCTTATACTACTGCGAGCGTATCTTGCTTACAGTCGGAATTGTACATCAAAGGGTATTTATATATCTCGACAATCGCCTTTTCGATTTACCCGCGAGACGAGCGTCGATGCGAGATGGCAGCAAAGTAAGCTTGCGGCTGGCCATGGCCGGGTATGCACTACTGCGGCTGTATTAAACTCTAATGCACCGAGGTGTCTGTACCCTCTCGACAGGCTCCGATATGCTTCGTTATCGATCGCGGTTCGATCGTTCAGCCGTTTCCCTTTGTTTTTAGCCCGGACCGTGTCAGCCGGTCGCGTTTATCAATTCATTCGCGATTTCCATGCGCCCGCGTCAACGATTTCCCAGTGCCGACGCAACGTCGACGGACATTCGATCGTTCCGCGGACGTTCCCGTCGACCGCCGCTCCGACCACAATAGACACCTTGTGTTTTATTCGTAGATTTCCCTCTCGGAATAGACGGGTCACTGATCGGTCCGCGAAACTTCGCGCCCGGCCGTCTTTTTTCCACCGCTGGAATCGTCCCCCGAACGTCCCCTGCCGACCGATCCGACCTGCGACCCCTGTCGTTCCGCGACGGAGCGCTGCGTATAAATAGCCGGCGAGAGAAGCGATCGGCGCTACGCGGAAACGGGTTGCACCGAGTCGGCGCCATCGCGAACCGAATCGTCAAGGTTCTCGACCTCTCTCGGAGATCCTCCGCTCCTTCTCGCTCCACCGCGCCCCGTTTCCTACACCCGTATCTCCGACTCGTCGAATCGATGCGTCCGCCTATATACATTTCACCTTTGATCGCCGCGATGTCCGCCGCTTCCGACGCGCGGACACGCGAGTGCACGCGTCCGGTGCACGCGTGGCTCCCGAAGCTCCGAGAACGGACCGTCGCGAGGATCCTTTAAATTGAACGGAACCCTGGGAACGTCCCTTTCTCAACGAAAGCACGATCGTCGTTGAATGGACGTCTCTCGAAAGTATGCAGCGAGGACCGGAAGGTCCATAGAGCGGTGATTCGTAAAGTCGATTCGGTAACAGGTCAACTGAAATGCAGATCGATTCGAATCTTAACCTTCCGCGATCTGAAATATTCCTTCCCTACGAGAATCTAAATCACGGACTCTCAATACGAAAAGATACCATAGATCGATAGTCTAATCAAACTGCTTTCCAGCTCGATTCTAAACACCAAACCTCGACGCCTATACGCCGACGCTCACGTCCCCGAAAAAACCTGGAACTCAGTCGAACTCGGTGGTTCCATTGTTAAGTAGGTCGCGATCGAATTCGCGCGGGGTCGGAAGATTATTCGGCTCCGAGGGGAAGTGGAGTGCTTTGCACCCTCTTGGTCTTCCCTTGCGTCTGCTCCTGGAGTCTCCGCTGCCTCCGATGCCAGATGATTTTTTCCCTGACCGTTAAAGGATTCGTGCACACGACATTCACCGTGCACACGGCATTTCATTCCACTACCCTCGGAAAACGCTGCCTGCATACCGCAGCGGCCCCTTGAATCTCAAAACGATTCGCCCATGAGTGATCGGCGACGTCTATCGGAGCATCAACGAAGAAAAGGGGATGCCCACGGGTCGCAGACGTCCCCATTAGCTCGTCCGAGCGTCGGCGACGCGCGATTTCGGCGTTCATCCCCTATCCGGGCCAGCCCAGGCCGCCACGAAGAGTCGGAGCCTCGTTTCTCCGTGCAGCCAGCCAGCCAGCCAGCCGGCCCCCCTCGCCCCTCCCTCGCCCCGCGACCACTCGGTCGCTGGCTGGCTGGTGTGTCACCGTGGTGAATCGAGTCGGAGTCAGAGTCGCGGAGTCGAGTCGCCTCGGTCGTGTGTTTCAGGCTGGTTGCCGGCTGCCGCCGTGAATCAATACCCGCATTGCGC